CTCTTTTTATCGCCTGTGCGAATCGAAACTTTGCGCAAAACTGATACTTGCTTCTCTGCTACGAAGCGTTTTTATTCTTTTCGGCGACGCAGATTCAACCTAAATTCTCACTGAGAATTTCTCGGGTGTAGGATTGCATCTCGCTATCAACGCGAAATATCCCGCATGACTAACGAGCCGAACTGTTGTACAGTGGAGAAACTTTCAGTGGAGCTCCGGGATACGGTGATTATATGCCCAAGTACGCAAGCGAGTTACGCCGAGAGACTTGATGAGAAACGCGTACAATCACGCGTAATCACGTAATCGCATTATCGCGGGAATTCAATCTTCCTGCGCGGGGCTAAAAATGATTTTACATTAGAGCGAGAATTTGTGGTCCTTAACTGCCCTGGACTGTTTTGAACATTGCGTCAAAGAGCTTTCGTCCACAGAGACAGACGCGGATTAGAGGTTTCAGTTAATTAGAGCGCATTCAGAACAGAGCTTTTACTGTTTCGTTGCAGCCACTTGTGGTTCCTGCTCTAATCTTGTTTTTCATCACAAATAGATACAGAATTTAATGGAAGTTTAAAATGACAAAGAAAGAAATCGATTTTTTAACGACGATTCAAGATATCTCGTAACAAAATGTCTATTAAAAAAAAAAAAGAAATGTTTCTTTCCAGAAAAGTAAATATTTTTTGAAAAATCTATCGTACGCGCGTCGATAAAAAAAAAAAAAGACGTTAAATCAGGATTAAACAACTTCGGACGTAGCTTTTATAAATAATAAGGGCAAAGAGCCTGGAGCCATTTTTAACGATTTTCTTTGGCACCGTGTATCGCAGCTTTTACATTCGATCTTATACATTCGAGCTCTCGTTTTTCGCATTTTCCATGTTCTCTGGAGAACGCCGACAGCGGCAACAAAACGGACGGGGTTCCCGCGTTTATCTTTGATCTTTACGCGGCGTGTTTTCCCAGAGATTAATATAAATCGCGGATTACGCGAGCGGAAGCGCGGATAAAGGGCCAAACATGATTAAACACGCGTCATCGCGAGATAAGAGAGAGAAAGAGAGAGGGATAGAAGGGCTAGCGTGGGCGGACAGGGGGCCACGATTGAAAGGGATCCTCCACGTGGATATATCGCGCGTAAAGGATACCGTTGAGATATACGCTCTATATATATGTGATATACGACACAAAGCGCTGTCCGAGGTGTATCGATCGAGAACGGTGGCGTCGCGACGCGAGAGAAAGAGAATCGCTCCCGATCCGGCGCATTACGAGCGTTTTCCGCTCTCGCGGCGAGAGAGAGAGAGAGAGAAAGGGTCGGAAAGAAGCGAGCGCGTAGAGCGATTTTTCGCCCGTAATCCACAGACGATGCATAACGATGTCTGTCACGGGCAAAGGAAACATTCCATTAAGGAAATGAGCCGAGCGTCATGTTGAATTACGTTTGTTTCGTGCCGCGGAACGACGCTTTTCCCTTCGTTCCTCACTCCACCATCCTTGAAAATGCGCTCCTCTGCCCTCACCTCCTCTCTTCGCACTTTATCTCGCGAGCGCGCCATTGCGGCGACCACAATTTGGCATGGCACCACAATTTTAATTAATGTTTCTGTCAAATGGGAATTTTCCCGAGTTTCGTGTCTCGCGGGAGTAAAGAGGGCAGCGATTTCGTATTTTATTTAAATCTACGGAATAATTTTTTTTTTTTTCAAATATATGAAATACGACTCGGTGAGATTTCGTTACGTGTTTTATGTAAATTAAGCTGTCGCAGTTACGAAGCTTGAGATCGACAGCGAGATGAAAAGCGTCGAGAACGACGCGATAACGCTATTGAAGCACTATTGCGAATCGTTATAGATAGATAGGCGAACAACGATAGGAGGAAGGACATAAGGCGTTCTCGCTTCACTTAATGCAGCCTGCTGTCATTATCGCGCACTAACTGCTCATTATATCATAATAAACGCCCAATACACTGCGCCTGTGTGCGTTCACGCGAAAACGGGTCGCGAACTAATGCGACCCATTCAATGTAATTACGCTACCTGTTACATGTCACTCGCATCAAGATCACGTGTAACAAACTTCGGTTCGAGTAATCGTGGAAGATGGAATCCGACGTGTTATCAGATACGATACGTCGATAATAGTGCGGGAATTCAGACTCTAGGCATTCAGGAGAGACTATAAGCTCGAAAAGGGATTATATTTTTTCGAGAATATAAATTGTGCAAAATAATTCACGTTCTTCTATGACGATATAATTATAGACAATAATAATATAGACAAATAGAAAAAAAAATGAAAGTTTATATCTTTTATTTATTGTACTTGTAATTTGAATTTTTAATAATGATTTAAGCTTAAAATAAATAAGCAAAATAATATACTGGGAAACTTCAAAAGATTCATTCTGTATCAAGATTCATTGTACCTCGCGAATACCATATGTTATTTATTTCGATTAAATATTTGGCGAATTAACTCATTGCCTAGATTCGGCTTTAATCCTTGCGTTTGGGATTATTTTCATGCCAATTGCACGATCGTTTTATTTCGATTTTATTTCACGTCCGTTATTATTTCACGCAGATATCACACGTGGAAATTTAAAAAACATTTTATTAAAAATCTAACGAGAAAGAGTTTCCACGATACATAGAATCGCAAACGATTTGCACATATTGCGAAATCAAATTGAGAATAGATATCGTTTTATGAAAAGCAAAAATCTAAAAAATAAACCTTACTTTTTATATATTTTAATTTAAATAATATATATATATATATATATTTATTTATTTTATATAAAATTTTCGTGAAAATCTAACGTATTGCTGCAACGAAAACAAATGGAGCTTATAAATAATGTAAACAAAATCTCAATCTTCGATCTCAATATTTTATCAGCGTTGATTGCACTTTGAAAGGAAGAGGCAGAATGTTTTTGCTATAACGAGACGTTTCGCGTTGCGCGAAATATATACCTTCTCTCTCTCCTTCCGAATCATTCATATTCATGAAAGTCATTAAACGCGATTCCCAAAGGCAGCTGTGTTGGGGGACTTTTCTCAGCGAGATTAGATCAACGGAACAAATATTTGAGGGCTCTCGTTGCGGCGTCTGTCTTTGCGCGCGCTCTTCTCCCGACTTCGATATCCATTTCTCTCGGAAACTCGACTCGCCGATGGAGCGAAACTTCGTCGTCTAAGTTTTCAAGCCTTTACATCGATTCGAGGGGAGTGGCTAGACTCGGTACGGGCCGAGAATAAATCCTTAACCTAGTGTTTGTGAGAGCTTCGTGATTCCAGAACTGTAACTCCGTCCAGCTCTTGTCTCTCATTTAAATAATTATTTTGCAAAAAAAGTTAAATTATTTGACTAAAAAATAAAGGAATGTGATCTTATATAGAATGTATAAACAGGGCCTCTGACGTAAGGTGTCGTACCAAAAAAATATAAAGGCATCGATCATTTTCGAGTTCCAAGCGATTGAAAATAAGGGGTTTTCGCAAACAAAGCCTTACGGAAATAAAATATTAACAAAGCCATATTTTCCAATTAATTTCGAATAAAGTTTACTTTAATAAAATTTTAATTTAAGGTTTAGTTATAAAGATACATGATGGAAAAATTGGGAACATGCAACAAATAATAGCCTCGGCATTTTTACTGAGGAAAAATCGTCTCCAAATAGCGAGATCTACTAGTATATTTTTGGTGTAACACTTTAAGTGAGATACCCTGTATAATGTTCACATTAAATATACAATTTTATGTATTAAGAAAAAATAATATACGTCACTCTTTCTCTCTCTCAAAAATAGAATTAGGGCGACGTCATCTCAGCAACGTCAAATATTGGATTTCAAAGCTTAGCGAGCAATTAAATGCGAGCCAACAGGCATTTAGAAATCCGCGGTGAGCACATTGTCAGGTTCGCCGTGGCCTGATTAATGCAATCTGCCAGACGATCCGGCTTACGTGCACCTTGTCTGGCGTTGTCATAATACGTAAATTCGCAGCAGCAGATTCGTCGCCCTCGAGACTGTGTCGCCCTGTCGCTATTCGATACACGTGTCGACACTGTCAGATCGCTGTCAAATTACGAATCAATCTTAAATTTCGACATATTGAAACGTATCACTTAAACATGGAGGAATCGCGGCGTCAGCATGACGCTACAAGTGTATCATGATTTTTATATTAGAAGCAGTCGAGGATAACGAATAAAGTCGTCGCTATTAGTCGAAAGAGAGATCGATTAAAACGCCGCGCCAATTTCCCGTGTATAACTGATTAAGCCACCGAATGGAGGATCGGTCAAAAGCCTCGATTCAACTGACCGGATTACGGCGAATTTGCTAAAGTCGACAATGGCTCGTCGTACAATTACGCCGAAAATTACGCAGTGTTTGCGCGCGACCGCGCGAACAATCCATTGCGCTGTCAGTTAATTTCTTGAGCTAATTCGATCCGGTGTTGATTTGCTGTTTCAGTTGGACAGGTTCAAAGAGCCTCCGGCGTTCGGCCCGATGTGCGATCTCCTCTGGTCGGATCCCCTCGAGGACTTTGGCAATGAAAAAAATGCGAAACACTTTTTCCACAATAGCGTCAGGGGTTGTTCCTACTTTTATAAGTGGGTGAGTGGCGTAGAGAGCCGCTTTTCTTCAACGTGTTAACTTTCGTACACCAAATACAAACTCTGCTGTAGGATCGGCAAACCGACAGTTTTGCGATCCTACGGCAGAGTTTGTATCGTATACGAAAGTTAACATGTTGAAGAAAAGCGGCTTTCCTCTACGCCACTCACTCGCCTGTAAAAGTAGGAACAACCCCTGACGCTATTGTGGGAGAAATGCTCCGCGTTCTTCTCGTTGCCAAAAATCCTCGAGGGGATTCGACCGGAGAAAATCGCACGTCGATCCGAACGCGCTCGAGTACGCGTTGTCAATTAATTCATTGAGCTAATTCGATCCGGTGTTGATTTGCTGTTTCAGTTGGACAGGTTCAAAGAGCCGCCGGCGTTCGGGCCGATGTGCGATCTCCTCTGGTCGGATCCCCTCGAGGACTTTGGCAATGAAAAAAATGCGGAACACTTCTCCCATAATAGCGTCAGGGGCTGTTCCTACTTTTACAGGTGAGTGAGTGGCGTAGAAAGCCGCTTTTTTCTTCAACATGTTAACTTTTTTGTACAAAATACAAACTCTGCTAGAGGATCGGTTTTCCCATCAACAGTGCTCGTAATTTCTCTGCGTTATTGTATAAATATTTATCGGTATTTATTAGTTGAATTAATCAAAAAGGAATATCATTTTTATCGTCCGTTTTTTTTCTCTGAAATTCAATATTTTTTTTTTATTTAGAATCGGGCTATTTTTCATCGGTTATATAAAAAATATACGTGCGACAAAATTTATAAAATTATACGTGAACGATAATACCTACTGATTTTAGAAAGCGATTGCAATCTAAAAAAAAAAAAAAAATGCGATACATCGATAATATAGTGTCATTTATCTCGGCGCGTTAATGTAATAATAAAGGCTGAATTAGTGGACGGGAGAAAAGAGAGAAAAACGACATCTACTCAGCGCGCGGTAGCGAGATTTCTCCTTTTGCTTCTCTCGTGCCGTGGAAATACGATATGCTTGCGCGATATATCTCGCGGTTGTCGTCGAGCTCGATTTTTTCGTTTTTCCCATCCCCAGCTGTCCGTAACTCTTTCCCCTTCTGCTCATCCAACAAGGTAATTATCTCGCCGTTTGTCTCGGGCGAACAGCGAGTAAAACCGGAAGCACGTTGGGCGCAAACCCACGCGCGATCACATAGCGTGAAACGAGGTAACTTTGGTTCTCTCTTTCTCTTTCGAGTTCTGAGATCTTTCTACATATACGTCACGTTCGCCCTACGTCAGTGTTTGTGGGACACGTCCGCGGTTTGTCCTGCGCGAGGATTAATAACGGGGCCGCGTAATACGACAACGTCAGCAAAACCACAGACACTACAGACTTCTCCGCTCGCGGATCCGCTAATTGTACGAATGAGTACCGAGATTCGTTAAGTGTCAACCGTCTCGTCTCTGCTCGTTCGTAACGTTTTTCGTCCGCTTTTGCTTGTTTTATCACGCGTGTTCGTGTACGTATTGTATGTTCGAGGTAGAGCGTAATAATTGAAATTCCTTGGAGACGAGAAGCTTTACCTCGACAATTAATTCAATGACATTTTTATTTCGACGCAATTAACTTTTACGCGAAGGAAATTAATACCCTACACTCTGGTATTTCTCCGGCAGCCGTAGAAGTTTTAGAGAAAAGTAATTTTAATAATCAAGCTGTTGATTAATATACACGTCGGCGCGGATGATCGCGATCGCGATAAGATAATAACAGCTGTTATGAAGACGTTGTAGGTAAAAGGCGTTACCTCTCCTCTCTCTCCCTCTCGTTTTAACAGGGTCGGTTAATTTCTCATTTTCGATTCTCTCGCATTATCGTGTTTCGGCCAAGGATAGCTAGATGCATTAAGTTTCACGCGAACATAAATCACACCCGCGTCTCGAGCAGTATGCAAGTGGTCTGGCTGTAATCGTCCGACTATATCCTGACTCGCGCTACTTGGATCCGCCGTAAAGTAGCGCCTTAACGAATCCGGCGGAGGTTTATAGCGGTTTTGCGACGAAGCGAAGCAACACATTTCGCGCGTTACAATAACCAGTCGCCCACGTTAAACAAATTCCCATTTTATCGTCGTGCACCGAAACGCGTGGGTATATATCGAAGAGAGAGAGAGTAGTCGGGTATCGAGGTATTCGTCGACCCGCGGGAGATCGATACCCGACCGCCTTGGCCAAGCGAGATCGGTGCGGTTTTCGAGAGATTTCATCTTGTCTCATTAATCTTTGTCGGCGTTGCGAACGGGTTTTAATGGCTGCTAACGACCCTACCGCGACGTGGGGCAAACATTTCTCACGATGCTTGGCCAGGTCAGTTATGGCAGCGCGAAAAGGGTCGTCCCGTAGTTGACGTCTTGCGGGACTTGATTTGTTTTATACGAACTCGCACGACGTTTGTCATCCGACGTTCGCGGTTGATTAAAAGTTGCACGCTCGATGCGGATATCTAATTCGAGTTAATTGCGAATTTGCCAATTTGAATCTATGGTTATCTTAGAAAATAAATTGACAATAGAACTTTTGTACGTCCAAACGTTTCAACACAATTGCAGATTTATTAGTGTATTGCATTAACAATGTTGCACCGGTTGCAATATTCTCGGCAAATCAAGATTGATTATTTGGCAGTCGAGTAATTGTTTTCGAGGTGAGTGCCAAAAGAGCGTTACGACATAATTTAGGTCGCGATTTTGTGATGCATAGTTTCCTGAAATAAATATTCATTAATTTTCATAATCTGTCTCTCGCAATAATAATGAAACACATTTATTTTATACGAATGTTATTAAATTTGTCTAAAATAAATTATAAATTTTACTTGATTAAAATTTTTTTAAGCCCGGTCTTTTTACGCAACCACAGCATTTTCCATATTACTTAATAAAATACGTGCATTAACATTAAAACCAAATTAATACGTGCTTGTACACAGAGAATTTTCTCTGCAAAATCATGGTAATCGTGGGATAATATTGGAATAATTTTATGAGTTTCTCTGATTAATATTTTTATCCCATTAAAAAATATTAACATCTATCACAATAAGATATATGTTCGATTTTACTATGTACATATATTAATATGTTTTATATAAAATTCTTCCAATACTATATTGTTCCACGATTACCATAATTCTCGGGGTAAAAATTCCAAGAGAAAATTCTGTTCGTGTACATGCTTGGAAAATTCTTGAATCGATAATATAATCAAGCTCTCTCGAAATTTAAATTGAATCGATCGATAATGTCTGCTTGCAGTTACGCGGCGTGTTGCGACTTTCTGCAGAACAACAATTTGCTCAGCATCATAAGGGCGCACGAGGCTCAAGACGCCGGATATCGTATGTACCGAAAATCACAGACGACGGGCTTCCCATCGCTTATCACCATCTTCAGCGCGCCCAACTATCTCGATGTGTACAACAACAAGGTAAAAGTCTGTCCGTTTTGCGTCTGCGTGAAACTGCGACCGCGGCTGTCCGCGATCGATATTAATTTAACGGTCGCATAAATGCGGAGCATTGTCCGTTTATATGACCGCTCTCGCGGGACCATATTGGTCTGCAATCGTAAAAACTCGATGCCCGCAGGCGGCGGTGTTGAAGTACGAGAACAACGTCATGAACATTCGACAGTTCAATTGTTCGCCACACCCGTACTGGTTGCCCAATTTCATGGATGTTTTCACATGGTCCCTGCCATTTGTAGGCGAGAAAGGTAAGTTGCGCCAAAGGGACGAATAAGTTTTCCGTGTATCTCTATCTGTGCTTATTTCGAACAAAATTTTACATATATTTTTTTTTTTTTTTTTTTTTTTTTTTTTTGCAAAGCGATATCTCTGATGATTAGAAGGTTTCCTAGAAAAGTCTCTTGTACAATAAAATTAAAATGTCAATTTAGATCCGTTAAAATAAAATTTAATATTTCGAGACAAGTAGTAGAATCTCTGTGGTTTTTTCGGAAAAAAATGACATATAATAAAAATTAAAATGTAATAATTTTTAAAAGGGGGAGATAAAATTAAAATATTTCGAGGTAAAGAATATTCTGTATAATAGAAAATTATTTATGTGAGAAATGCTTTGTTCCGAATTTAACAGGCGATCTTTCGCTTTGCCTTACAGTCACAGAAATGTTAGTGAACGTGCTGAACATCTGCTCGGACGACGAGCTGATGAGCGACGGCGATGACGCGCTCGAGGAAGGTAATGTCCACCATTTAGTTCTCATTCTCTCCACCTTAATCCGTATACACTATTATTTTGCAGATATTTCGAGCAAAATTCGGCACTCGGACTGGTCGCTCTTATATCGTGATCAGAGCCTTGTCTTTTTTGTACCCTCTTAATTCGGTGCCACCCTTAACGTGTCTGAGAGATTTATTTGCCTAATAAAAATCCTGCAGAAAAACACGAGATGAGAATCACACAGTCATACAATGGCATTAAATTCGCGATGAAAACGAAAAGAAAAAGAAAAACACTTTCGCGATCTCATCTCTCGACTTGAGGAAATTGGAGAGACATTCTATTTAAAATCTCGCGATTACAAGAAAACAATCAGTCGAAAGAGAAACATAATTAATTGTTGCCGTAGCGTTTTCAATCCGCGAGATCTCTCGAATTAAATCTCTAAATCTTCGGTAAATTTATTTTCCTCGGGAAATACGCTCTCTAATAACGGGTGAGAGACGCGAGACACGTTTCAATCTTATCCCGTCACTTCGAGGACAGCGGCCGAACCGGCGAACGCGATAAGACGGGTGAAAGAGATTCCGCTAATATATCTGGAATCTTTTACGAGCTCCGACACGATCTAAGAGAGGCCACGTCACTTTCGTTGCAACCCGGGGAGAGAATGCGCGGATTCATCCCTCATGTCGCGCCGCGCGAGTCTGATAGAAAAGAGTCGGAGACGGTTTAACGATGAAAAATGAATCGGGACATCCTGTTCCGCGCGCGAGAATCGTCGCATTCTCCTCCGAAACGAAAGATCGATCGTGCACGCGTGCGTCCGGATTGGTGGACCGAACGCGAGTCTTTGCGAAAAACCGCGCATGTGCGGCTCTGTCATTATCTTCTTTCTACCTACGCGGCGAGATGCAAATTTGCGAAATGAACACGCGCGCGCCTTTAATTTTTCACTCCATCATTTAATATCCGACCTCGTTTTTTAAGGGAGCGGATATATATATATATACATATTTATATAACGAATTTCACGTTCGCCGCGCGCACGATCGATCCGCCGTCCGGTCAATCTCTATTTCGCCAATCGATCGATATACGACAGCACCTGTGAATTTCTACATATCGTACATCGTACACTGTGTATTTTCGTACACACCACTTCGATTCACATTATTCTGCTAATGCTCGCGCACCTCTTTTCAAAAATTCACCTTTTCGAGCGCAAGTAAAAAGAATAAAAAATTAAGTGACGCGCGATTTCCCAAAATATATATATATTATATGTGTACGTCGCGCCGACGAAGAGTAGTCGATCTATTGAAATATCTCTATCATTTCCCCCCCACCACGATCTCTCACTCTTAGAACTTCCAGATACAAATCTTGAATTTTTTTTCTGTTTGCATTTTCACTCGCTGCACGGACAGATGGTAAGAAACGCCGCTCGATTCTTCTAGACGTCACACGATTAAGAGCTTCATTGATTATATCATTAATTTTTAGCTATTTCATATAGTAGTTTTTCTCGATGTCGAATTTCTCGTCTATCTCTCTATTTCTCTCTTCTCTCTTTTTATTTATTTATTTATTTATTTATTTTTTCTTTGTTACGTCTTTCTCTTTCGCCGCGACGTCATGTTTTCCTTCTCGGGAGAAGAACCTACATTCGCGTCTATTTTTTCTCTCTTTTTTCTTCCTTCGTCTCTTTCTCTACATGTATGTATATGTATGTGTATATATGTATATACACTTTATATATATACTATGTATCTATTTTTCTATATTATATATATATATTTCTTTCTTTTTACCTTGAACCATCTGTTTCATACTTACAATTTCTCGAGGTACGAGGTTCTCTTTCTCTCTCTCTCTCTCTCTCTCTCTCTCTTTCTCTCGTTTTTTCTCTTACATCTTCTCTTTCTCTCTTTCTCTCTCTCTCCGTATCTCTTCTTCTCTTTTTGGCATTTTTATTTTTTACTCCCTGATTATACGTATGTATATGTGTGTAATACATATTCGACGTGTCTCGACGGCACATAGCCTGAATTTTTACATCTTCACCTACGGTAGCCTTTGATTTTCTGCATCCATTAAATAGCATCTTCACCCTATTTCCATACGTTTGGTTCAAGATGGCATTCGAGATGACACGAATCCCTCGCTTCTTTCTCGACGCACGTATATGACTATTTTCCGAGCTTTGTAAAAATTTAAATATACCTTTCGAAATCGGTATGCCTATTCGCGAAACTCTAATAATGGTACTCGTGATCAGACAAGACACATATATCATTTGCCATCTTGCGCACATACGCATTTTTAATTCACGCATGCATCGCAGCCGGTAAGATGAGAAGTCAGATCGTTATTCAATTCCGCCATAATGATTTCTCGACGTCACCCTCTAATATAGATCGATTTCATTCATTAACCGTTCGCTCCGATCGACTTTTACCACTGTCCGAATATTCTATTGTCAGTTTCAATTTTTCTCACGTGTCACACATCCCGCCCCTTCTGATCTATTTTCTTACTTTCTTTTTTATGTACATGTCACATTTGTATGTATTATTCTCTCCCCTTCGGAAAAGAAAGGTCAAGACACCAGAGTTCCGGGAACCGGCGGATGGAGCTTTCGCGATCGGTGGTGAAGCTCGCGAAATTTTTCATTCTCCCTTCGCGATCTACAATTTTAATCAGTGTCACGAATGTAACCGGAACTTTATGATTCATTTTCCAACTTGTCGAACTGCGTCAGGACGATCTAATCAATAGGCACTGCCCATTAATTTGACACTCCGTCACGTAGATTCGAGAAAAGAGAGGCGCAAACTAATTCGTTCGCGCAATTTGCGGCACGTCGAAAGGTCAAATCAATACAGTACTCTGTCAGTCGACCGCGGGTCGTAATAGCATCCATCCACCGAACCGGGTCCAATCTCCGAAAGAAAGTCAAGCAGTCCCTCTTTTTCTCCCATTTCTCGCATCGCGCCCCAAAAGAACGCGAGAATATCTCTTTCGTTGCGGCTAGGTCGCTTTGATCGAAAGAAAAAGAAAAATTCCAAGCAGAGAGTTTCGTCCCGGGTGTTTCGATCAATAAGACACTCTCGGTCCCCTTGGTCTCTCCTCTTTCCTTTCCATCAGCCCTGGTTTCGCCTTCTGTAATTATTGCGAGACATATACGCGGCCGCCCACAACATTCAAGCCCCAACTGCCCCCGATCAACCCTCTCGATTGCCACCCTCCCCCCAACCCCACCCCGAAGTTGCACTGACTGTCTTTTATCGTACTCCTTCTCTATTATATTTGTATCAATCACACTGGCCTTGGACTCTTCCTATCTCGGCACGACACTATGCTACTACTACCTCTACTACTTCTACTACTACTTCTACTACTACCACTCAAAACTCCGATTGTTCGGCAACCCCCGTAAAGTCGCAGCCAAAGTCGTTGTCCAAAAAAGAATGGTAAGTCCCCGTGAGAGAGCCGACGACTTACTCGAAGAGCCAAGATTTTTTCTTCTTTTCGTGCGTGCCAAGAGTAACCCAAATGAGAGATCTTTTTTTTTTCTCTTTTTTTTCTCAAATTCTTTTATTGCGATATATTTGTGATATAATATATCTCTTAACTCTTCGTATATTTTTTTTCTGTTCTCTGTCTCTCTCTCTTTCTCTCTCTCTCTCTCTCTCTCTCTACGCCAGTGTTCTCTCTTGCGTTTCGGTTTCGTTTTTGTTTTTTGTCTCTTCTGTTGTTTTTTTTCCTCGCGTGGATGCACTTCGTGACGTTGTTCTGCCGGGGGATGCAAGTATATATTCTTATTCCGTATATATTGTACATATATATATATATGTTCTTATTCCGTAAACATGGTTGTTACACTCGTGCAATTTTTTTTAACGACGTAGAGGAATGTAGAAAAAACGTTGCAATTTCTTAATGCACAATTTCATTATAATGTGGCGTAATAATACTGTAAAGGAGCGTCGTGTAATTTCTCGCTGCACAATTTTTTTCATATAATAATGTGATCGATTTTGATATTCTTTATCTCTCGCTACGCATCAAGCTTTCCCTAAAGCATTATAAAATTAATATATATATATATATATAAATTACAATCGCGATATTTGTTACAGATATACTAATAAAACGTAATATTATCCGGCGGCGATCATTTCGATCCCGTACTCGCCTCCAAACTCTAACTATATTTTTTCCTTTATCACGTATAGAGACATATGGAGAGAGAAATGCTTTTAGTTCGACTAGATATTCCCCAATGGGGGACTGTAATTCGAAGCGCGCGAATGATGTTACCAGTAGAACAACGTCGACGCGAAGGTTCCACGCGAGATATTATTTTCTCGTTTGTTGAGTTGATTTCTCCTTTCGTTCTTGTGTATATACATATATATCTCTATCTATATCTATATACTTACATATTTCTATCTTCGTCATCATCTTCTATATTTCCTTTAAACGTGCTCTGTTAACCGTTCTCGGACTTTGGATTGAGCTAACATTACAATCCTCCATTAACTGTCAGAGAACGAATTGTCACCCCTTACTTCCTCGTTCTCACTTGTCTTCCCTTTCCTTCTTCGTTTTTCCCCCTTTTTTTTTTACACTGATTTCTATTGTGTTTACACGTCGCTGCCTTCGTATATCACACATATCCCCGTTGTCCACTTACACGCTGAATTAATCATCTCGTTGAGTCTCGTCCTCCTTTCTCTTTTTTTTTATTTTTTTTTAATCTATATTTTTGTTATATAAGAGTCTTCCTCGCCTGCTTTTTGCGCTTTTCTCGTCGACGATGGAACAAGTCGCGCTGTGTTCAACGAATATACATATACATAGGTACATGAATTATGCGACGTCCTCTCTTAATTCGAGATTCCTCTCGAAACGATATGAATTTATTATATTGGAAATAATCGATGAAGCGACGAGAGATGTTTTCGTTGAACATAAAAGTAAGAGGGGATCGCAAAACCGCGATGGATCATTTCTTTCATCCCTCAAATCTCACTTCTTCTTGGAGAGCACCTGCTCTCTCTCTCTCTCTGTCTCTCGAATCCAAAATAACGTCACGCAAATGCGCGCAACGGGAAATATAGTTCTTCCTCTACATGATCCCGCGATTCGGAGGACTCGTCGCTTACAGTAACAGCTGATCCGCGTGAATTTATGCTCGCTTCGAGAAGAGCCTCATAAAGCTCTCGGTGGATTAGTCGGGGAAAGTTCGGATGAATATATACGTCCTATTCATTTTCATTCTCTCTCTGTATCTGTCACTTGGGCCCTCTTGGTTTCCTCCTTCCTACTTTGTTCCTTAGCTTTCCTCTCTTCCTCTTTCGTTCATTCTAAGATTTAGCCGACGAATTTCTGCATTGCGTTCGCGTTATGGCATTCGCGACACAGTATTACGACTTTGAAATCCTTTCTTCTCCTCCTATCTTTCCTCTCTCTTTCTTTCTCTCGGCAATACCTAAAACAGCCCTCATGTCCTCACCTCGTTTGAGTTTCGCTCGTTTGAGTTCAGTTTATTTGCACGCTTTACGATGCAGCATTAGATATCTCGCTCTCTACTGTGTGCGCGTGTGTGTGTGTGTATATTCGTGTGTTTGTGTGCACATATGTTCATATGGGCATATGTACGTTTGCCCGTTTCTCTTAACAACGTCCAGCGAGCGAACACTGGACGCTTCACTAACAACGCTTCCGGTTTTACGAGCCATGCTCTCGGACCTTTCCAGGTCCAAAACATCCACGAGAGATTCCTCTCCGCTCGACTGAGGTCGCCGATAGCACGATCTCGGGTTCTGTCTCTACCTCCGAACAGTATTCGAGGGAACAATATTCACCGGCCGTCCGCCTGTCTTGAAATGCATATTCAAATTTCCAGCAGTAGTACAGGGCGTATATACCTACTCCCAATACGAGGAACAATACATTGCCAAAGTTTGCTCGTATTAAAATTCGCGTCGTGTCTCCAATATCCGTATAGCAATATCCCAAAATTTAAGTTTTTTTTGTAACTCTCGAGCGATCACGTTTTTCTGTTACGTAAAAAGTTATATTTATCGCGATACTTCTTTTTGTATTCGCTACTTCTTCGTAGAGGAATAAAAAAAAAGAATGATGGAAGAGGTAGAAAAAAAATCCAGCGATTATTATATTACCGGTGGATATCGAAACCCGACAACTGTGTCTTGTCAGTTGACTTGTTCAAAAGCTGCTAAGCTCCTTAACCGATTTAATGATTTAACGCGCGCGATATCGACAATTTCCGCGGTCAGTTCCAGGAATCGGGTCTTCGTCGTTTGTCATGTTCGTTCTCTTCTTTCTCTCTTTCGCGAAAATCCGGAGCGAAAGAGGCTTATTCGGTCGCTACGGAGGAGGCTGAGGTACGGCCCGGGAA